GGGGGTTGAGGCAAATGTAAGGAAAATGTAAGAAGGGGGGGGGGTTCCAAAAGTCCCCTAAAAGGTGTAAGATTATATTTGAACAGCCCCTAAGGCATTTGAAATGCCTACAATGTAGGTGAGAGAGAGAGAGAGAGAGAGGCCCCAAAGGTGCGCACTTATACAAGTGGAATGAATTAAATATTTGTTCAGAACAAAATTAACTCTTCTATCAGAATTTGCCTGAATAGTAGTAATTAACCATAGTAAAAGCCACAAGTCACCTCTCTCATCCTACTTTATTATTTTTCGCATTAGACTTAGAATATATTCCCCTCTGCAGATTTATTGGTCGTCGTCAGATATTGACGAACAAACTACACGTACGTACTACATTATTAATATTATTAATCATTGTTATCGGTTATCAAGATTAATTTAACGATACATATACCTGAATAGATTACGGCACAAGTAATAAACATATTATTTCGTTTGTCCTGTGCACCAGTTCTTCCAGTTTACTTGAGCCGTGGGACATCAGCTGAGCGCAGTCCCTTGACCTGCTACTCGTGTCACGATGACCCAGACGACCCGGAGGACTGTCTGCTGCAGGAAGAAACCTGTGACCCGGGGGAGGTAACACAAGCTCTGAACCTCTCTATATAAATAATTATAATAACTCGTGACACCCGTTAAATCATACAAAGCATATTATGGAGAGAGATATTTCTCATATGTTGGTCCATTTATGTGGAACAGATTACCCATGGAACTACTAAGGCAAACAAGAACACTTGATAGCTTCAAAAGACATGTATCTTAAGCATTTTCTGTTCCTACAGGCCTATCCTTCTTAAGCTTTTAGCGTTATTTTATTATAGTTGTTCTGTGCCTACGTTTAATGAAAATAGTCCGTGTGTGTGCGCATAAATATTGCATGAGAATAAAAGAAGCGGTAAGAAAGATTTTGAAAATGAGTACACGTATTCCAATGTAAAGCGCATTGAGCTACTTTTTTTTTGGGGG